ATATTTTCTTTGAAGCATTCCCAAAATCTTAATTGAAATTAGTCCTATTAAGTTTTCCCCCGTTAAAATACGATTTAATTGTAATATGTAAGAAAATTTTAACAAATTAGGTACCTGAATTTTGTATGTACTATTGTTACGATAATTTTATATTACCACGTACGCTGCCTTGGGCAACAATGCAGCGATGGTTCATTTTTGAACGGCAACTTGATGGGATCCTTCAGCCTAGACAACAGCGTTACGATGTTCTCTTCGTTCTTCGTTCAATAAAATGGTATATTCAAGTTTGTTAAAATCGGGAAGAATGAATATACTGATATGTATGAGGCAATGATATCGTGGTTTCGAATGCATTCATAATGCTATATGTTGGATGGCCTTTAGTACTGAATGTTCAATTTTTATGTGAAATTATCCTTGCTTTCCTGTATGATGTGCTGGAAATATTGGGAACAGTAACTAATAAAGCGAGAAAGTATATGATGTTCAGCACCATTTGTTTTCTTTAAATTTTATTTTCGTATGTATCAAGGAACGGTAAAAAATATAGTGTCCATTTTCGGCTTTCTCTCAGTTTGTTCGAAAATTGCAAAAAGGTATTTCAAAACTACAAAATTAAAGAAAGAGACTTTTGCCTTGACAAAGCCGGTTGCAAATATGCAACTCATTAAAAAAAGGTCACATACAATTTTTTGAGAAGGCTACTGGATTTCATGTAATTTGCTTCTAAATTTATGAAGTTTCTAAAAAATTTCCAAAACCATTCCAGATTTGTCTTCAAACTTTTTCCACGGAAAGACGAAAAGACTCTAATAAGATTGAAACGGGTCTCATTTTCGTTGAATATCCTGAATTTTCAAAAATTTCTAATTTATAAATCATGCGAGAAAGTATGGAGTTGCTAATGTGGCACTAGTTTACTTTCTCGCACTTACTTCGTAAAAAGAGAACGTATTGTAATAGTGAGTCGGAAATCGGCGAATTTTCGCCAGAAAAACTCTTATTGCCGTTTCTAGAAATGAAACTAGTGCTACTAAAACAGCACATACTTCCTCTCATTATTTGTAATTGCTTGGCTCTATTACACTATTACATAAATATGCAAACTTGTTTTCAGCCAGCAAAAAATATTTTCCGCGCTTAAACTCGAACTCATGTTCGCCGAGTTAACTCGCCGTCAGTCATAACACTACGCTACAGATATACACTCTATGAGTTCGAGCTCGGGCCGACGCTTAAAACTGCAAATTGTCTCAACTCAATATTTCCAAAATGCAATTTTAGCAATTTTCGAAAATACGGAGAGTTTGCCGAAAAGGGGACTAGCACCTTATTTTACCGTCCATTTTTACATACCAGAAGAAACTCAAGGGTAAACATTTGGTGCGGTTTTCGATAAAATGATTTTTTTTAAATTGCCTGAGTTTCAGACACTAATTACGCGAAACCAATTGTTTTTGTTTGTTTGTTTTTTCAAAAATTTGTGTATGGCCTTTTTTTAAAGGGGGGCGTTAAGTATTTTGAGGGAGAGAGAAGGAAGAAAAATGGGCGTTTCTTTGTGCAATATTTATATCGGGAGTTTCTTTAGTTCTCTCATTTCATTCTGTAACATTCTCCCTCTCACTCACTCACTCTCTCTTCCTGCCTCTCTCTCTCTCCCTTACCCTCCCTCATTCTCACCTCCGACTCTTTCTCCCTCTCTCACACTCTTTCTCTCCCTCTCTCGCGAGCGCGTCACCCGCCCAGCCCTCTACAAAGTCGCCCTGCGTCACACGTCATCGCCCAGCCACAATAAAACTCATGTGGATTGGGAATGGCATTTAACAGAAATGACATATTGTGCTGAGCGCCATCTAGTGGAGATACAACAAAATGAAGAGCATAAAAACCTTCTCCATGGACGTGGCAATTTTCATCATAAATAATTTTCATTCATAGATCGGTCAATGAGTTTATCGATCTCCAACAAACCTATACGACCCATCATTTGAATATTCATAACAAGATACTACATTTAAAAGTGTTTCCATCCGCGGTCAATGAAGATAACACTTCTAAACTAAAGATCCAAAAGCTCAGCACAATGAAAACTTGATCATTTTCCAAGTATTTAACACATGCTAAAAAAATACCTTTTATGATTTTTTACTTTCTCGCGTTCAAGAAGAAACTTCTATAGAAGAGAAAGTTATGTAATGCTGGACGAAAAAATGGCAAATTTTCGGCAGAAAAACTCTTATTACAAGGCCCTGCTAACGAAAAAGTGGATAAATCCAGTTGCTAAATTTAGGGGGGAAATCTAACACGTGGTGTAGCCAGAATCCATATTTTGTGGGTCCTTGATACAGAAAAGTCGGTTGACAGCAAAACGTCTGCCCGTCTGTGAACAACGCTTACTGCTACACCGTTGAGCCGATTTTCTCCAAAATTGATTTTCACTGATCGATCTGGCCGATGTTGCGGCTCCTTGATCTTGAAACTAATGTTTTAAGTTTGGAGGTACTTTACATGAAGCCCCTGGGACATTTCCAAAATTTTTAAATAAATTGCGCTTTCGATTTTGATTAAATGTTGTTGGTTGATAGTCTGAAGAACGTTCAAGAGAATGGCGGAAGTCCCATGTTGGTTGAAAACTCTAAGTTATTGAAAATTGAAAAAAAAAATTTCATGGTATTGGACGATTAAAATATTAAAGATAGAGATGTTTTCTTTAAAGATATATTTTGAAATAATTTAATGAACAATTTTTCGAAAATTTGTGTATTTTTCGTCTAATTTTGGGTGAAATACAGGCAATTTTTAATTTTTGTTTAAACATTTTTTTCTCAAAAATAAATCCATTGTTATTAATGAAATATTGGTGGATAGACTGAAGGAAGTTTATGAAATGGTGTATGTTTCATGTTGGTTGAATACTCTGAATTTTCGACTATTGAAAAAATTCAGAACGTTTTTAGCGTCTTCCTACAACTGCAATTATGATGATATATTATTTTCTTAATGAAATGTGTTCATAAAAATCAGATTTTTAATCAAGGTAATGTTTCATTTTTCGAAAATATGAGTATTTTTGGTGTATTTGGCATCAATGCTGTTCACGCACGGCGATGGTGTAACGGATAGCGTCAGGGCCGGATTAACCTACAAGCAAAACAAGCAGTTGTTTGGGGGCCCCCATTCACCAGGGGCCCCGCGGTTCGAAGAAAATACGCATACCATATTTTTTTTTTTTCTGTGAAATAGATTGTTTAATTCAAGTAGTCTACTGTGTAACAAACATTGTAGAATTTCAAAAAAGAATTAAAAATGGAGTATGGAGCATGATAAACTAGAATCTTCGTTTTGAAGACATCATCGGCAATTTTCTGCACGTGAAGACAGAAAAAAATTATGTAACAATGTATTTAAATGTAAAAAAAAGTAACACAAGTAAAATTTTCTGATCATAAAATTATCGTTTTCATTTTGTACTGTACAGTAAAGTACTTGTACTCTAAATACTTTTTTTTATTTAATTAAAATGAAGCCATTTTTTTTCGGGGGGGGGGCAACAACAATTTTGGTGCTTGGGGCCCCGCACTACTTAATCCGGCCCGCTGGTAGCGTATTGGATTGTTGTACCCAATTTGGCGGGTTCAAACCGATCGAAGTCGTGGATGTTATAAGGGCGAAAACATCCTTCATACACCTTTCCCTTCGGAGAGGAAGTAAAGCCTGTTCCAATGTTAGTAGATTTACTTGCATGTAAAAGATCCTCAAGCCTAAATGACGCCTCTGAGCTAAATTCAAATAACCTTTCTTGCCCAAGAAATACCTCCTTTCTCTACTAGTTGGTGAAATGAGCGTAGCGAAATTTGTGTGGTCAGACGGAAGAGCAGGCCTACTGGCCTGAGTCTCGCCACGTAAAATAGGGCAATAATTCAATTCAGTATATATTCTCCCGCTCAGAAAACCCTGCGTTTCTTGATCGTAATTTTAGAAGTGTTTTAAGTTAGTTGGATGCTACGTAAGTTAGAATGTGTAAATTATTTCATATTTCTTTGTCGCTTCTTATGCTGGAGCTTTTGTTATAGTTTATAGATTAATATTTACGTTTAAATATGATTAAATAGTACGTGTACAAATTATTGTTTTAGAAATTATTTAAAACCTATTTGAAATAAATATGAAATTAAATTGCTAGCCTGCAGTCGCCCGCTCCCAATTTACGCAGTAGGATGCTACGTAAGTTAGAATTTGTATATTTTTTTCATATTTCATTTTATTATTTATTTATTATATTTACAATATATTTATGTTACTTCATTTTCAATTGTGTCCTTTAATAGTATTAAATGTGAAAACGAATAGATGAGCGATCATTGTTGGTTGATGTAACCCATTGTTGCAACACCGCACAGATAACAGAAGGCGATAATGAGGCCTGTTTTTCGTTCGCTGTAATAAAAACGAATACTTTTATATATTTGTAGAATACCATAATATTATTTATTTACTTTATTTATATATTATTTTACTTTTTCGCGTATTGCTTATTTTTCGCACCAAATATTCTACGATTTCAAATGAGTTTTACAAGAAATAATTCGGAGACAAAATTGGGGTACAGTATTACATAACCATTACTAATGGCGAGAAAGTACGTTGTGTTTTAGCACCACTAGTTTAAATAATAAAATAAATTAAATGAATATGAAGAACTGTATTATTACTTCTAAAACATTATGATTTATATATAGGCCTACAGTTCTACACTTACCTGAATATTTTACTAATATTCTTATAATACTGTTGTTAACATTCAAAATAACTATTAATGCAATTTTTGATGACCCTTTGAGATGACCCTTTACTTTTACCTTCTCGTATTCGTACGTATATATGGAGTAATGCACGTATTATACAGAAAGCTGCGGAAAATCGGTTTGGAGAGTTCAAGGGAAATACATGTCAATACACCTTTTCTGGTCCCCTGTTACCGAAAAATCGTTTGTTTGTTTTTTAGTCCGTCCGTCGGTCTGTCCGATCGTGAATAGACATGAATATATGTTATTAACTTCCCGGGGATGATTAGGGATCGAAGATGAACAGTTTTTGCCAAAGAATTTGTGAGTGGAAATTCATACGAGTATATCGAAAGTTATACGTGTGACATTTGCCCTCTGATTGGTGGACTATTCTATCTGCTGTGGTGTTGGGCAGATACGTTTGGCAGACACAGTCGAAAAGATATTGTGAGCAAAAGTCGTTTTTACCATCAGGGGCAAATACTAGATGTAGAATTTCAGTATATGAGGTTTATATAATTGTTACCATTTCCGTCACTTTGTTGGACGCAATTACTCTCTGAGAATATATTCCGCAATCGTCAAGCATTCAAATTGTGACCATGTTATACAATTGAGTAACAATGTATAAACAAATTTAATTATATGAGGTTTCCTGAGTTTTTATTGGGAAAAAGTGATCATCGATTTCTCAACAAACCATAGAAGTTTATAACAATTATTCATCATCCATAAAATTCAAATATCCATCCATAAAATTCAATTATTCAGAGGCATTCTGCATAATACATTTAAGAAAAATAACTGTTGACTATTTATAAAAAACTATTGACGCATATATATAAAGACCTGCGTGTTGTTCCTAGATAAAAATTTCCCCTCTGTCCTGTATGAAGCAAAGTTATGAAAAGTAAAAATTGGCAGATTATGGTTTATGGAAAAAAGGTGCACAGCCACCCGCAACATACATTACCACGATGCTTATTTCTGAATCTAGGTGCCTTAAACCCTGTTTTCAAATCAGCTCAAAATGGAATAAGGTAAGTTCATCCTGTGCATAAAAGTTCTAAATTGATGAGTAGCTGGAAAGTTGTGCATATTTTTACCCTGGAATATACATTCAAACACACCCTCAAAATCCTTGCTAATATGTCCAAAATATGCACAGAAAGTTTTCCAATATCTGGTTTGGTTATCAAAAATTTGGTTACAAATGCATGAACTTTGCACTGATTGTCATATCTTTTTGGCACCTAGAGGAAGAAGATATGTGGAAATGAGAAACAGATTGTCTGTCTTCTTTGGCTTATTTCTCCTACTTCTACTTATTTTATTTTACATTTGTATTTTCAAAATGATTATAGGATTATCCATTCTTGAGCCATTCCACATCATATTGCACAAGAGTTGACACGACTATTTTTAAGATAAATGAAATTTTTTTTCTTAAATCTGGACATCAAATAAAAGATATACATGTTGTTTTTATTTGCCTGAAAATTGATTATTTGTGTAGTTATGCCCATATTAAAGTTTAGAATTTTTGCAAACATCGAAAAATACAATGGATTAATGCCCCAAATGTACTTTTT